TTAAGGCTCAGGGAACATTGCAGAAGGGGCAGAAAGATGGAAAAAGCCAGAGGATCAAAGAGTTTGCCGTGAGACTATGTCTCCTGATACTATCGGAAGCTATACCAGTAAAGTTTCACTTTCATGACTGTCCAAAAGTGAGCTGAACAGGAATGAACAAGCGTTCTCCAGGCTGGTCTAGAATTTTCTGTGTAGCTGAGGGTAATCATGAGCTTCTGACCCTATCTCTATATCCCAGTGCTGGATCGCAGACATCCGGCAGGTGGGCAAACACTCCACTGACTGAGCCACACCCACAGCTCTGCAAACATTCTTTTTCAAAGGCAGCACTGTGAGTGCTCCTTCCCTCTTCTGTGGATTTTACTGGGAAAATAAACAAAGCAAACGCAAAAGCATGCTGTCTAAAACATAATTTGGTCAAATAAAAATGTTTCTTCGAGCCAGATGTGGCGGTGCAGCCTTTGATTCTAGCACTCAGGAGGTAGAAGCAGGTGAGTCTCTGTGAGTTTGAGGCCAGCCTGGACTACATAATGAGTTCAAGGACAGCCAGGGCTATCCTTTGAGAGCTGCCTCAAACAAACAAACAAACAAAAAACCCAACCAACCTAACAACAAACAAACAAATCTTTCTTTGAAATCAATTTGTTTTTAAAGTTTTCTCATTTAAGAAGTAAACAAAATGTACATATTTATACTTAGGAATTTTTCTATGTTTCTTAGAATATTACACAAGATCAAGAAATCAAGAGCCAGATGTGGTGGCACAAGCCGTTGTTATCAGTATTTGGGAGGCAAAGGTAGGAGAATCTCTGTGAGGCCAGTCTGCTTTCCAAGCCAGGAAAGACTACGTAAGTCCCTGCCTCAACAAAAAGAAAATAAATCTAACAAATGTGTCTTTTATCAATCTAAAATAAAAACCAATCAAAAAGCTGAAAGCAAGCCCAAGGTTTTACTTTGGGTTTCTATTGCTGTGATAATGACCATGACCAAGTCAACTCGGGGATAAAAGAATTGATTTTTGTCTTACAGCTCTTAGGTCATACTCAGTCCCTGAGGTCAGTCAGGACAGAAACTCAGTGGAGGAACCTGGAAGCAGGAACTGAAGCAAAGACCATGGAGGAGCCCTGCTTACTGGCTTGCTCTCACCAACCTGCTCAGCTTGCTTTCTTACACACCCCAGGACCACAAGCCCAAGGATGGCACTGTCCCCAATGAGATAGGCCTCCTAAATCAATCATTACTCAAGAAAATCCCCTACATATTTGCCTATAAGACAATCTGATGGAGGAGGCATTTTCTCAATTAAGATTCCCTTTTCCCAGATATGTCTGGGTTTGTCAAGTTGACAATTACTAATCAATACCCCTAGCATGGTGATAGATGATCATAAATCCATGTAATCCCAGAACTTAAGGAAACAGAGACAGAAGGATGACAATTTCAAGGTTAGTTTGGGCTCCATAGCAGCATCCTGTCTAAAAACAGGAAGAAAAAATAGAGAAGGTTCTAGAAGTCAAATAGAGCTTGTAAAAGTACAGACTATCAACACTGTATTGATTACCTAGCATTGTGACTTAGTACCTATTAACTCATGAATGGTAGTTGCCATTATTGTTATAGATATTAGTACATTTTTATTATTGTTCTTCATACTGCATTAATGAAACAACAGAAAGGTAGCTTTCTGGTTTTCTAGTTTGTTTTCTCTTTCTATGCTTCACTCTCCCAGAGCTGGGACCAACCTACAGCTTTGCAAAAGCTAAGTAAGTACTCTAGCACTGAGCTACATCTTCAGCCCTGCCCTTCAAGTTTGAGTGTGTGTGTGTGTGTGTGTGTGTGTGTGTGTGTGTGTGTACACATATGTGTACATGTGAGCTTGCCTGTACTGGCATATTTGGAGAACAAAGACTGAAATTGGAATGACTTCCTTAACTGCTTTCCCAATATATATATTTAAGTTTATATACATAAATACATAATAAACTTAAAGATGTATATATATTGGAGACAGATCCTCTCTCTGAACCTGGAGCTTACTGCTTCAGCAAGACTAGCTCTGACCAGCAAGTCCCAGGGTGCTTCTTCTCTGCCTCCTCAGCAGTTGAATTCTAGCTGTGCACTGGACACCTGTTTTGATCTGGGTGCTGTGGGTCCAACTGTAGGTCTTATGGTTGCAGAGCAAGCACTCTACTCTGTTGAGTCGTCTCCCTGGCCCTATTTCTAGTTTCTGATCTAAGGAACTTGCAGAGTCTTTAAGATTCCAGAGCTGGAAAGATGCCCCTATGGTTATAAACACTTAACTGCTCTTTCAGAGGACCTGGATTCAGTTTCCATCACCCACACGGTAGTTCACGACTACCCGTGACTCCATTTCCAGGGGATCAGATATGCTCTTCTGGCCCCTGCAAGCTTCCGAATGTTCATGGTGCACATATGTTCATGAAGACTCACACATGTATACACATAAATTTTAAGAAATATTTTTTTAAAAGAGAGATTCTAGGAGCGGGAGAGGCGGCTCCTCAGTTAAGAGCACTGGCCGTTCTTACAGAGGATCTGCGCTTGATACCCAGCGCCCACATGGGAGCTCATAACCATCCGTAACTCCAGTTCCAGGGGATCTGATGCCCTCCAAAAACGCCAGGCATGCATGTGGTGTGCAGACACACATGCAGGCAACAGACCCATAGATTTAAAATAAAATAATATTTTAGAAGATTCTCATCAAGACATTTTATACAGTATTTAACACACATGCTTAGACATTGCTTCTTGTCTCATTACAGAGCAGAATTGGCCATTATTATTAGTAAATGAATAGCATCACATGTCTAGTGCTAAAAATGAAATGACCAAAAGGTTTGACAAGCTCTAGTAATAGGAAGATGGTGGTCTCCACACATGTGAACCAAGAGCTCAGAAGGCAGCATACACACACACACACACACACACACACACACACACAAGCTCACACACCTGCGTAAGCACACACATATAGATAATACGTGTACACTATAAATGTTAAACTTTTAAAACCGTGCTTCATTTGTGAGTTTAGTCACTTCAATCTTAGTTACATTTTGGTTTTACATTTTCTTTCTATTTCCTTGATTTGTGGAAATGGGTGTCTTCCTAACAGACTCCGGGCTGGCCTTGAACTTGCAAATCTCCTGCTTCAGCCTCCTCGGTGTCATAACACAGGCATGCACTGCTACCTCATCTCTTCTTTACCCTAGATACATACAGCTGACGTTTGTTGATTTTTAAGCTTTTCCAAGAAAGCTTTTCAGCCTATTGATACCTATTCTGCTGTTCTCAGTCCCTTTCTTCTCCGCTCCGATGTTCAGTATTTCTTTGATTCTGCTTATACAGAGTTCATTTGCTCTCCTTTTTCTAATTTCATAAAGCCAAAAGGTATGTTATTGACTCCAGATCAGCCTTTCAAAATATCTAACAAGTGTTTACAGTTACAATTTTCCCTCTGGATGCTGCTTTAGCTATGACCCATGAGACTTGGTGTGGTTTTGTTTGGCTCATGAAAGGATTTTTTTTTTTTTCAATAATTACCCGTGGTGTGATTTCTTCTTTTACCCAGTGGCTCTTTAGGAATGTTCTATTTAACTTTCACTTTCCAGTGAACCTCTGGTTCCTAATTTCATTCCACTGTGATCAGAGAATACACCCTGCCTTACTTTAATCGTTTTGAATGCACTGAGGCTTGTAATCTAGCGCTACGGTCTGTTCTGGAATGTCCACATGCCCTCAAGAAAAATGCATATCTGTTGTTGTTGGATACAACATTCCATAGGTGTCCTTTAGTCCTAGTTTGTAGTATTGTCCTCTATTTACTGTTGATCTCTGTGAAGTTGTTCCCATCACTGAGGGTGGGGTATGAATTCAGCTGTTACTGCTAAATTGTTTATTTCTTCCTTCAGTTCTGTTTAGTTTTGCTTTACATACTTTAGGGCTCTGTTACTGGTTACATGTGCACTTATGACTTTTATGAATTCCAGATGATTTGGCCCTTCTACCAAGGCAAATGCACTCCTTGTCCATCCACTTTAGTTTTAAAGCCTACCTCGTGAGATAGCACTCATCAACCCTGTTCCCTGCTTGCACGTTTCATTTCCTTCTTTCGCTTTCAAGAAATCTGTGCTTTGAAGCTATTCTGTGTCAAACATAACATATAGTCAGATTGTGTATTTTTTATCCCATCAACCTTCAGATCCTGATTGCACTGTGTGATTCATTTAGATTTATATAAGGATTTATGTAACATCTAGTAAAAGATCGTTTTACTCAGTGTACTGGCTAGTTTTATGTCAACTTGACACAAGTTAGTGTTATTAGAGGAGGGAGGCTCAGCTGAGAAAATGCCTCTATAAAGTCCAGCTGTTGGCAAGCTTGTAGGATATTTTCTTAATCAGTGATTGATGGGAAAGCAGCCAGTCCACTGAGGGTGGTGCCATCCTGAGGCTGGTGGTCTTGGTTTCTATAAGGAAGCAGGCTGAGCAGCACTCCTCCATGGCCTCTGCATCGGCTCTTGCCTTCAGGTTCCTGCCCTACTTGAGTTCTTGCCCTGACTTTGATGATGAACTGTGATGCAGAAGAGGAAGCCGAATAAACCCTTTCCTCCCAAGGTTGCTTTGGCTATGGTGTTCTAGCACAGCAATAGAAACCCTAACCAAGACACTAAATGTGTTTTATTAAATGTGTGTGTCCCTTTTTATTTCCATTATTAGTTTACTGTTAAATACATAATTTTGAGTTATCATTTTTTTTGTTGATGTTTCTTTTACTATTTTTTTAATCTTGGATATTATCCTAAGGATTATAATTAACACAAAAAAAAAAACTATAGATCTTTTGCTTTAAAATTTTGAACTGTCATCAGAATTAGATTCATGAAAATAGGAAAATCGTTCTCCACAAATTCTACTTGGATAAACACTAGCCCCTAGTGTGCCTTCTGACAACACACCTCTGGAATGAACACTTACCTTATCTAATAATACATTCTGCCACAGCCTAAAAATGCTCAGGTAACTTCTATCTCTGGCACCAAAAGATGTAAAGAAAAACTGCAAAGAAAAATAAGGAAACAAACTTAGCACTGTGAAAGTTAAGGGGGAAGCATCTGCCGTGAAGGTCTGTGGGGCCCTGCTATGACCAAAGCCAACCTATCAACTCTCCACACTGCTTTCACTTACCTTTGTGTTTAAAGAAAAATAATTCTTGCATAAGTGAGATAGCTTTTTAAACCCTACTCTTATAAGAAACATCATTTCCAAACACTATTTTGTTCTTATTTACTAGGAAAATGAGTTAAAACAAGGGAGCTGTTTACATTCATCATAATTATCTCAAATTAATCTAAAATTTATAGAATAAATAAAAGATTTTTTATTCTGAACTTTGCGATATGATACCTATCAACTGAGCCCTGTATAAACGAAAAATACAAGCAGATTCCAGAAATACATATATATATTAATAACGCAAATTTTAAATTATGAAAATTTTTTCAGGTCTTAAAGAAACTCCAAAAATATTGGATCTCTGTTGATGGTAAATATAAAACACTCAAATTAAACCCTGAGGCTTATGATGCTACAGAAAAAAGCAGAATGCTCAACCTATAGTTCTGTGTCTCTTTTCAGCCCCATGTATTGCTCTACACTTAGCTATTTTTGTAAAGTCACATTTCAAGTTGACTACAATGAGAAAGTGCAGCAAGATACATCCTTGATGGAGCCTCACAGTGGGTTATCGCTTCCGTCAGCCTAGTGGATGACCTCCTATCAAAGTGCTTCCCTACAGGGAGAAGAAAGCCAGTCCTATGCTGAAGTGATTGAGAAATTTTCGCACACTGATTTGGATATGAATGCTTTTACAGACACGTTTTCATTAAACTGAGTTCTCCGGGCAGTGGTGTCACACACTTATAAATCCCAGAACTCAGGAGGCAGAGGCAGGCAGATCTCTGAGCTTCAGACCAATCTGGTTTAGAGAGTGAGTTCCAGGACAGCCAGGGCTACACAGAGAAACCCTGTTTTGAAAAACAAAAAAGAGAGAGACAAAAACAAACAAAACAGGACAACAACAAAAACAGAACAAAAGCTGAGACATCAATATATATTTTTGTTGTTGTTTTTGTTTGGTTTGTTTGTCTGCTTTTCACGACAGGGTCTCTCTGTGTGGCCCTGGCTGTCCAGGAAACTCTCTCTGTAGACCAGGCTGAGCTCAAACTCATAGAGATCTGCCTGCCTCTGCCTCCCAAGTACCGGGATTAAAGGCATGCACCACCACGTAGCTCCAGATACATATTCTTTGTAGAAGATACATCCTAGCACTCTCTAGACAGTTGCACACACAACGTATGACCTACCAATTACTAATGTCCCTGTAACCTTGTGTATTTCTTTATTATTTTTCTTCATTTTTTATTTTAATTAAATCCATTAAAGTGGATTTAATTGTGACATCATTAAGCTTCCATAATTATATTTTGCCTTATTCACCTCCCACTGTCCTTTCCCACCTCTGGCTGTCCCAGCTTTCTCCTCTACAAATACTAACTATTTAAACATTACAAGAGTCTGGTATAGATTCTCCTGTGTCTTCACAGACACTGTAACTTCAAGAACCACCTGTATTCCCCATGATATTCCCGTGAGGCAGACTTTCTTCCCATTATTGATATGGCAAAGGCAGAGGGTCCCTCACCTTTTCGCCCTCTGTGATGATCTGGATAGCGTTTGGGATGAGTCGAGCAGTTTTCTCCTTGGTCATAAACGTTATATTCTTTAAGGCAATAGAAATCTAAACACACACACACACAAATACCTTTTAAAAACTGAAGTGCATATTTTCAGAGACACATACAACCCAAAATACCAAGCGTTACATCAATGTAATCCAGAGTATTTGGCTGAAAGGTCTGTGCTAGGAGGTCACAAGCATACACTGGGTTCTCTATGAAGGCCAAGGTCAGCAGTGGGTTGGACATGCTCCCTTCCTCATTCTGCCCATCAATACCGGGATATAACATGAGGACTGGGTGAGAAAGAATTCAGGCTCAGCATTTAAACCCTCAAGCATAGTCTAGACAATCTGTCAGGTAACCATGGCTTTGGCAGCCAAGCCCCTTCCAACCTAACAGTAGTAAGTGCAAATGGGCCCGGATGTATTAAAATTAGAAAAATACACTACACATTTACACATACATAAACGCATTATACTTATATAAACATAGATACACAAATATATACATGGTTTTACTTTTGAATCACCTTAAATACATTGCTTTTAAGAGTACTGTGTATATTTCTGACTGTGCAATTATTTGCACCAGAAAATCAAATGCAAACATATCTTACTGTAGTTTCCCATCTGAAAATGTTGCTATGGAAACACAGCCAGTTTTCTGAAAGGTACAGCCGCCCCTGAAGCAAGATATCCTTCTGAAGAGCACAGGCATAATCTGTAGGGACAGAGATAAGAGAAGGTCATTCACAAAAGTCTGACAACTGAATAAATCTTATACCACTTTAGCTCATGGGAAGTTATCCCTATCCATTCATTTATTCGCTCATTCATTCATCCATACACTCTATGCCAGATACTTGGTTTTGCACTAGGTTAACCAGAAATATTTCTTACCCAAATGGAATGTTGAAGTGAAAGGCAGGTATGGTGGTTAATGTCAACCTGCTAGAATTTAGGATGTCTAAGAGATAAGCCTCTGGGCTAATCAGAGTAATCTGTCAAGCAAGACCCACCCTGGATATGGGTGGTGCCGTTCCTAGGGCTGGGGTCCCAGACTGTGTCTAATGGGCAAAACTGGCTGCTTCCTGACCAGGAATGCACCGGGAGAAGCCACCTCGAATGCCTGACACCATGACTTCCTCACCATCAGGGACTGAACCAAAATGAAGCCGTTTTCCTGCAAGTTGCTTTTGTCAGGGCATTTTAGAGCGGCAACCGGAAAACTAACTAATACAGTTGAGGAATTTGGTCTCTTGTGGTAGGGAAGGCAGGTGTTGGGAGCAGATTGATCAATGATGAAGAAGCAGAGAAAGAGGAATGAACGCCTGTGCTTAGCTGCTTTCCCCCACTTTCTCCCCTCGATCAGGACAGGACCCGGGTGTGTTAAATCCTAACATTAAAACTTGAACAAAGCAGTCAACCTTTCACAATGCTTCCTTCAGGAAAAGAAAGAAAGAAAGAAAGGAAGGAAGAAAGAAAGAGAGAGAGAAAGAAGAAAGAAAGAAAGAAAAAAGAAAGAAAGAAAGAAAGAAAGAAAGAAAGAAAGAAAGAAAGAAAGAAAGAAAGAAAGAAAGAAAGAAAGAAAGAAAAGAGACGCAACCAAACAAGATTTCCTGGTAAATAAGTAAGCAGATTAAGGTTGCTCATTCACTATTGTGTATCTCCCAAACAGAGTGGGGTAAAGGTCTTAACCGTTGAAACATTTTATCATCCAAAGTTTCTCAGACTTCAGAACTACCTGGTTGGTTGATAACACAGAGTACCAGCCCTACAGTTCAGGGGCAAGGTCAAGGGGAATGTGTCACAGGGTGCCACATCGTGCCCGCATTATTTTATACTAATTACATTGAGTTACACACCTGGAATATTTTAACAGAAATCTATTTGATATCATTGACAGACTTTTCTGTAATTTTAAAATGTGGCTTCCCTAAAATATGCTGTAATAATAAATGTAGACCACAGTAAAATTGCTTAAAATTGTGGCCAAAAAAAATAGATATAAAATACAGCAAAGACATTATACCATACATAATTGATAAAATTTTCTTTTTAAAAGCAAAAATTATGCAATTTTTGTGCTCCCAACTTTGCTACTTTAAATGATTGTCTGCTGTAAAAATAATCATTTCAGGAGGCAATGTTCTACCTGATCAGTTATATTAGCAACCTGATTCCCCTAGAATGGACTAAGAAAATAATTCTTATCAGAAACTGTTGTTACAGACTTTGTAACTTCATAAAGGTCTCCCAGAAAGCTGTAGTCAACCTAAGGAAATTAACCAAGCTCCTTAGGTCACTTTGACACATCTTGCTTTATTCAATTTGCTAGCAAAAAACACAATTATGGCCCTCTTAAATGGCTCCAACATCCAAAGATTTCTTTTAATACCAACCATAAAAGAAAAGATACAGGACAAAGCCATAAGGGAATCTAGGAGTGAATCAACATCATATACATGAAATAGTATACACATATGTAAATAAGCAATATGTATTCTTTGTCTTACTAAAGAACTCAGAACTTAGGCACACTGTCCATAAAGTAGGTAACCATTAGGAGAATGTGCTTTTTCTTTTATTCTTTTCTTTTTTTCCTTTGCTTGAGACAGAGTCTCACTATGTAGATCAGGCTGGCCTCAAACTCACAGATATCCACCTGCCTCTGCTTCCCAAGTGCTGGTATTAAGGGAGTATACCAAACACCCAGATTAAAATTTTAAATAAGCAATAAAAAAGTCAGGAAATATATGTCTCCAAATATTCCATTTTGCAGTAATGGTCCTTGAGAGCACAGTGACACAGATCTTACCGAACAGGAAAAAAAAATCCCTTAAAAGGACATTTTAAAGATTGCTTTTAGATTTAGCATTTAAATTACAAGAAAAAAAAAACCCTCTTTTCTTTGTATTTTGTTAGCTTTTTACCTGCAACAACTAAAAGAGTAAATATACATTGAAAGAAAAGAAAAAGACCCTCGTCATCGTCTGTGGGGAGAAGGGAGAGCCGCATCCCTCTGGCTTTGCTCAGAGCATTTTCCCACCTCCACCCCTTCAGTTTATGAGGCCTGTGTGACCACACCCAGTTCATGAGGTGCTGGGGATGGCACCCACGAGGCAGGCACTCTCCCTGCTGAAGGCATCCTCAGTGGCCAGCTGTGTCGATCCTTAAGAAGCAGTTGCCAGTACCATGCAGCTGTTATTACTGTTGCTCTGTAGGACAGCTTGGGATCAGGGATGGAGATACCTCCAGACAATCTGTTGTCGTACAGAATCGTCTTGGCAATTCTGGGTTTTTGTTTCTCCATATGAAGTTGAGAATTGTTCTCTCAAGGTCTGTAAAGAATTGTGTTGGTATTTTGGTGGGAATTGCATTGAATCTGTAGATTGCTTTTGGCAGGATGGCCATTTTTACTATGTTAATTCTACCAATTCATGAGCATGGGAGATTCATGTTTTGATATCTTCTTCAATTTCTTTCTTCAGAGACTTGAAGTTTTTTTTCAAACAGGACTTTCACTTGCTTGGTTAGGTACTTTATGTTATTAGTGGCTATTGTGAAGGGTGTTGTTTCCCTAATTTCTTTCTCAGCCCTTTTGTATTTCATATCCAGAAGAGCTACTAATTTTTTTTTTTGAGTTAATTTTGTATCCAGCCACTTTGCTGAAGGTGTTTATCAGCTGAAGGAGTTCTCTGGTTGAATTTTTGGGGTCACTCAGGTATACTATCATATCATCTGTGAATAGTGACACTTTGACTTAGATAAGGTCTCTATGTAGCTTCCATTGGTAAGGAACTCGTTGTGTCTTAGGCTGCTCTGAAACTTGGTATCCTCTGCCTCACAGTGATAGACTTGCAGGCATGTATCACCATGGCTAGATCACGTTCCAGTTTATGTTTAATCAATCAAAAACTGCTTGTTTTAGTCTTCCGCCTTTGTGGACAGGTATTTTTAGTTGGCAAGAGATTTTATACTGGATTATTATTCTGTTTGTACCTCTTCTTTGTTCACTTAGAAAATCAGAGAACTCAAAAAGTAAGTTTTGAGCATCACCAAGCAAAAGAACAGTCTCCTAGACAATTCTTTTAAAGGAGTAAACAAATTAAAAAAAAAAAAAAAAAAAAAAAAAAAAAAACCAGTGCATAGGATTGTTGCAAATTGAAAGGGATAAGCTAGACCTGTGTTTATTTCCTCCCCTTTTAGAAACTTCTTTTGACAAGACAAAGAGGACATTTAATCAATTAAATTCAAAACAGTGCTTGGGCGAGGTGGGGCCATATACGAGCAGATGGAAAGATTTTCTAATGTTTTAGAAGGCAGGAAGCAGAGGCCGGTGAATAAACCCTCATATAAATGAATGACTAGAGCCCTCAGCTCTGAGACATCCACGCCTCAATCTCTGCTAAGTGAAGGCAGGTCCATGAGCACGCCTCTCTCCACCTTCCCGCACATGGACAAGAGTGCTCATGGGTAGGCAGAGGTATACACCGCCAGAGGGAAGCCACTCCAACTGCTTCCCCAGTCTCCTCCTCCATTCACAGTCACAGACTACACAGTACACATCCTTCCTCACACTGGCCTAACCCTGCCAACTCAGACCAAATCATTTCAAGGTTGAAATAACTTTCTAACAAGGAAAGACAATTTAAGCTTTTCCGTTGTGTAATTTGGGCTGTCTGTTACTTCAACTTTGACTGCAACTATCTGTGAAAAGATCTGAGCAGGCTGGATAGACTTCTGACTTCTAAAAGCTAAGGAGAACCAGGCGATGTTGGCTCTGGTAGGTGGATCTGTCTCTGAGTTTGAGGCCAGCCTGGTCTACAGATCAAGGAATGAGTTACAGGACAGCCATGGCTGCACAGAGGAACCTGCTTCAAAAAACAAAACAAAGACCTATTGAATATGGGGCTGGAGAAATGACTCAGTGGTTAAGAGTACTTGCTGCTCTTGCAGAGGACCCGGGTTCTGTTCCCAGCACCACAAAGCAGTTCACAACCACTTATAACTTCAGTTTAGAGGACTGGGTGCCCTTCTCTGACCTCTCATACACCAAGCTATTAAAAATACCAAATGTGGGTTCATTAGCACAGACACCAAATGGGTTTTCATTGGTGACAGTAACGCTTTATTCACCAGTATGTCAGACAAAGCTCTCCTCACCCATACAGGTGTGGAGAATGAGAACTGAGGCCACCTTAACTTTAGGCATGTACTTACTTAGTTCCCTAGATCACAGCTGCTGCTGCTTCTTCCTCCCCCTTCCCCTCCCTCCTTTTTGTCACTCGTGACCTCTAATTTGCCAAATCCAAATGATTAATTTCCTTTGTTTTCTGTACATTGGTGTTTTATGTACATCGGGTGCCCTGGAACCGGAGCTGCAGACAGCTGTGAGCTGCTGTGCAGGTGCTGGGCCATCTCGTGTTTTGAGACAGGGTCTCTCACCAAAGCTGAAGTTCATCAATTTGTCTAGGATTACTGGCCATGAGCCTCACTGACTGGTCCGTTTCCCTGCCCGCCTGCTCCCACCCCACTGCTGGGGGATAGGAGAGCCTCCCCACGCGAGGCTTCTGTATGGGTTCTAGGACCCAGATTCAGGTCTTCGTGCTTGTTCAGCAGATGCTTCTCCAGTGGAGCCATCTTTCCTGCCCCTAAATTCTGAAATTTTAAGTTTTAGCAAACATATAAATTATCTAAACATGCTTAGGGGTCTGGGAGACTATTGCTCCTGCAATAGTCTTAATTTAATTATTCAGGCATTTATTCATAGCCATATGGACTCGCAGATATTTATTTGATTCTTCAGGCTGTTATCCCAAATCATTGTTATTTTGTTGCTTAAGATATTATAACTTTGACCATCGGGAGCTGTTTCAAGTTGTTCCGTGTTTTCGTTTTCTTAACCCACTGCTGACATTGTAACGGTAACATGCCCCATCCTCACTGGTCTGGCGTTGCTACTGCTCCAGCAGTTTCTTCAGGGAGAGCCGTGTTTAAGAAACCAAGACCTGCGTTCTAGACACATTCCCTTCTGCTACAGTCTCAGCAGACAGAGATAGGGAAAAGACAGGCGGGGTCAGCCCACCATAGCCATGGCTTCTTCCTCCTCAGATTAAATCACAAAAGTATGTTTAAATGTTTCTGTTAAAGGGAACGGCATCTGCACTGAACACGCGCAAACTTTTTTCAGGTCACTATTCGCTAAACAATATATATGTACATGTAACAACCATTTACATTGAGTGAGCCAAATAGTAATCTGGAGATGATTTAAAGTACATAAAAGAATGTGCTCTGGGTCCATGTAAATGCTATCCTATTTTACACAGGAGCTGCAGTATTCATGGACCTTGGTGTCTGAGGGGACTTCCAGGAGCCAGCCTCCTGAAATATCAAAGGGCAACTATCCATATACTAACCCATTCTTGATTGTCACTTCACTCGTTTATGACAGTTAGTTTCATTTGCACGATTAGCACTCTATCCTGGGATGTCCCTGATACTTTGATTATTTTTAAAAGATGTAAGCAACAAAGATCCTCAACAAAGATGTGGCCAATTAATAGTCATGTGGTCACCACCAAAATACCA